GGCTCAGATTGCGTGTGTTGCAGGCTCGTTTGCGTATCTGTCTGGCTATACGCGCGGCCGGGCGACGTCTCCGACGTCCTCGGCTTGTGCAGGCGGAAAGAGAGCTCACCCAGGTCGGCACCGTTGCGCCATATCCCCGACGACGTGTCGGAGGAGGAGCTTCCGCCCAAGGACGGTCAAATAGTCGTCTAAGATTGGCCTCGGCACTCTCTGGCAGCGTGACTCTTTGACTCGGAGACAACATCGAGGAGGACTGAGCACCGCTTGTGACGTTTGTGGCGCTTGCACCTAGCTTTTTTATAAAATGCTCTTATTCTGGATACGTGCGCCTCGGCATCCGCGCCTGGGCATGCGGATGCGCCTGCGGCTGCGCCCCCTGCGGCGTGCGGGGCTGGGTCGTGGGGTTTTCACAGATGACAGAAAGGTTGATATTGCAATGAGAAACAAGAAACTCACACGGCACACGTCAGTGAGGGTGTGAGACGGGGAGTTCACAGAGACCTTGTTACCCGCTTTTGAGCGTGAAAAGCCGCCCTGAATATGTTGTGAAGGAAACACACCTCTCAACGTGGGAGCTGCCTCCTCCGTCGATCCTCCGGTGGCCTGGGTGCCTGTTACCCTCCGCCTTTGCGCGCCCTCGGCGTCAGCTGAAGCAACCCGTTATTCACAAGTTCCTCGAAGTGAGCGTGAATGATGGCCTCGAAGCGCGAAACGGAGACCAGCGTTCGCTTCTGCATGAGCCAAACCATTTGCACAATTCTGCGCGGGGAGGGAAGGGAGATGGGGACGAGATGAGCGAGGCTGCGCAGGCAGAGAGGCTTTGCCGGTGGCGGTCCGCGCCGGTACTTGCTCGCGTGCACGGTCTGGTCCTGGAACGCCTGGGCCAGCGTGTCGGCAACAAAGATGGAGCAATACACCACGCCAAACGCGAGCAGGAGAGAGCGCGTGTCAAACTCATCAGTCAGACAGCTCGCGGATGCAGAGGAGGGCTCATCGGCGCACAGGACGTGCTGCCTGCGCGGGTGCGAGCGAGTGTGTCAGAGTACGTGCTGTCTCTTCTCCTGTGCGGTGGTTTCGTGGCGTACCTTCGGCTGCTGTGCTGAGCAAGTACGCACTGGGCCACGATGTTAGACATGCACCAGACCTGAGAGATGACAAACCACCGCAGCAGCGAGCCGGACCGCGAATACGCGCCGGCAGCGCCGACCACGCCCGAGGCAGCAGCTGCGGCAACAGTCACGAGCATGAACTGCGCATCGGTGCGCGCTGGCATTGTGCGGACCGAAGAGATGAAGGTCGTAGCACACGCCGTCTGCACCGCGCAGCAGGACAAGAGGAGGGCGCGCGACAGAAGGACGTAGCGGCCGCGTCGATGGATACCACGCCGACTTGTTAGCCGGTCAAAGTAGTCTGAAAGGTCTTCCGGCTCCAGCTCCTCCTCTGAGGTGTCCCACAGCCGTGGTGCGGAGCCGGCTATGGAACTCGCAGAGAGGCTGAGCGCTCGGCTGGTGGCACTGCTGCCACTGCGGCTGCTCGCGGGAGATGCGCTACCGATCAGCGACCGGCGGCCTGGGCTCAGCGGCGAGCCCGTGTTGTCGGCCAGCGGCGCGTACTGTGTTGCGGACGAACGCATGCTGTTGTTTTGTCGTTACGGATTATTTCTTCTTGCCGCCCGAAACCAACGAAATTCCAGGTTGGAAGAGGGGTGCGTGCAGTATGAGCCCGACCCAGGTCGTAGTGCGCTTGCGTTCGGCGGTTAGCGGTGCGCTAACCCCGAAGAACCAGTCGGTGTCGCTCCTCATCGCTGGTCCTGGTGTCACTCACAAAATTGAAATGTGGCACATCTCTCTCTCTAAAATTCTCTTCGCTGGTGTCCAGTCCGAGCCTGACTGTTCTTATCGCAAACTCCGTCAGCAGTTCACCTCTGTCCTCGCTCTCTCTCTCTCTCTCTCTCTCTCTCTCTCTCTCTCTCTCTCTCTCTCTCTCTCTCTCTCTCTCTCTCTCTCTCTCTCTCTCTCTCTCTCTCTCTCTGGAACTCGGGTACGTACGTTCATAAGAGCTACATACATAAAAAAGACACCAATACACATTGTTATGACCCCCCCCAATGAACACACCAGTGAGGGAGGGCGAGACGATCGAGGGGTCCCGTACCATGCGGAATCGGCCGGCCCTATCAAGTGCTCAAGTGCTCAAGATCAAGAACACAAAGAACAAAATACGACGAAGAAGTCATCATGCACGCCCTGCGAGCGGAACGGGATGCGCACTGTGCCTCTGTGTTCGTGCGTGCGTCGCCCATATCTCCTGCCTGTGGAGCCTGCTGTGTAGAGTACTAGTAGTATAATAGTATGTGCATGGGTAAAGTGGGTTGAGGCGGGCTAGTACTGGAGCCGCTTGGTTTTGCTATCTTGGAGTAAGTATTTATTGTGCACTCACACACACCACGAGCCTGCTCTATTTAGAAGAATGTTTTCGCTCCGTCCGTGGCTCCGTGCCCCGTCCTACATCCCCAGGCGAGCTGCCCCTACTCGCCGAGCCCCGTTTGGCCCGCCGTCGCCCGCTGTTCACAAGGATTTGGGTCCTAATCTGGAGGAGCAGGCAGGCGGAGCCCTGCAACTTTGGCTGCTACTCCCCTCATGACCGCCGTTGCGCATCTGTCCGCCTTCACGGTGCGTGTTCGTGACGACAGGGCGGCCGAACTTGCGAGCGTGCGCAACCTACGCGTTGTAGAGGCGCGATCCGATCACGTCGCGAGCCTGCTTGAGATCTCGCCGACGTCAATCTCGCGAGACCAAATTGAAGACGGGCTGAGAGCGAGCATCGAGGCTGAACACAACGTCTGGCAGCCCAGTCGCACAGTGACCCACCTTACCTCTGAATCAATCACCAACAGGCGTTACGGCAGCAGCGGCGCGTTAGCGGGTCGGACCCGACGAGGGTCAAGCTCGAGGCCTTCTTGGCGCGCGACACCGCAGGCCTCCAGCCGCCGCCTCCGCCCCCTCCGGCCCCGCCGTCGCCGCCACCCGCCGCCGCTAAGCTCCGCAGCTTTGACAGCCGCGCCGGCGAGGCGCCCGTCGTCACCAGCCTCCTCGCCGAGATTCGCGCCTTTCAGCGTTCGCCCCGAGCCTCTGCCGTAACCTCGGCCGCCTCACGGAGCCAGGCCTCTTCGCCGACTGTGGTGCTTGGAGC